CGGCAGGCACCGACTAGGCCTGTGCGAAGCGGCAAGTATTCACTCTGGATTTGGATTCAGCTGATTTGGCGGGACGGTGATTCGAATCACTGTCCTGATTTGATTCGGCCGATTCAGATCCAAAGATCTGGTGCCGATTCAGAGATCCAGCCATAGACTAAACAGGCAGCGGTCCTTGAGGGTGCTGGATACGGCTGCCTCCGGCTGGTAAGCCTGTTGTGGCGGGCAGAGGGAGGAGGGAAGGGGCGTGTGGTGGGGGCAGATCAGTGCCCCCACAGCGAGGGAGGGATTGGGGCTGGGGCTGGGACAAGCTGCCCAGCCAGGGCGGGGTGGCGGGCAGCTGGGCCTAACCTCCGTGCAGATCGGGGGGCATGCACCCGCTCCCATGCCCTCCCCAACTGGCGGCGCGCAGTGGCGGGAGCCCCCCTCCCCAAGTCCTGCCGCGCCCCCCAGCCCGGCTGGGCAGCTTGTCCCAGCACCAATCCCTCCCTTGCTGTGGGGTCCTTGATCTATCCCATCCCCCCCCCCATGCCCTTCCCTCTCCCCTCCATCCTCCGCAACAGACTTACCAGCCGGAGGCTGCTGTGTCCAGCGCCCTCGAGGACTGCTGGCTGTGCCCGAATCTCCAAATCAATTCGGAGCTTTGAATTGGTCTGATTCAGATTCGGAGATTCGGCCACTGAATCGGGCCAAATCTCCTCCGAATTGAATCGGCTACCGAAGCTTCTCACAGCCCTGGAGATCTTCAAAAGGAGACTGAGCGCACACCTTGCTGGGGTTATTTGACCCCAGCGGTCTTTCCTGCCCAGAGCCGGGGGGCTGGACCCGATGATCTCCCGAGGTCCCTAAACTTCTGTGAACCTGGGACCCGTAGCCGTCCTGGGCATGCGAGCCAGCGCGGACAGGAGCTCACAGAGTTGGCCGCACGGCGGTCTTTCCCAGGGCTACCACCTCCAGCCCTCGGTGAACGGTGGCACCCCCTCGAGCTCTCGCCCACCGCTCCTATATCGGTAGTAGACCTGAGGATGATTTAGCCAAGTGCCTGCTTTCGAGGATTAGCACTGCATCCCGGAGGTGTTACCTGTTACACAGAACCGAAGAAGACAAGGGTTGAAGGGACGCCAGGAGGTCACATCTAGTCCAACCCCCTGCTCCAAGCAGGGCCAGCCCCAACACTGAGCCATCGAAGTACATTAATATGCAGTGTGCTGTAGCCATGTCTTCCACACACCCAGGTAGGACTCTACCTCTGGGTAAAACAGCTGCAGATCAGACGTGTCCAGATCCCAGCTGCTATCAGCGCTTGTGTATGTATCTGCCACAGCAGAAAACTGCATGGCAGCCACCTCCGATGGTGCCACACCAGAGAGGAGTCACGGCATGGTTGCTCCCGGCTCTCTGGCCAGTCAGGGAAAGGATTCAGGCTTTGCAGGATCGGAGGTGAAGCAGCCTCTTACTTTTGGAGACCTCCCCCAAAACCACCGTGCCCTCTAAGCCAAGCAGCAGGCTGCCTTGAAGCAAGACCCAGGGGCTGGCTAGCAGGTAGCAGGCCGAGACAGGTGTATTGCACGGGGTTGCCTGAATGGTGTTAGTCCAGATCGTGGTTCCTGTAGGTGCAGCAGGCTCTTCACTGGGAAGAGAGTGCAAGTCTTCCCTTGCCGGAGCCGCTCTTGCCTTCCCGAAAAACGCTCTGGTTTTTCCCCTTTTCTGAGCAGACCTAAGAGCCTTGTGTTTGCACGGATACCGGCCTCGACCTGGGACCTCCACAACTCCCTGCATTTCACGGCTCCCCAAGGGAGCGGGAGCAGTAAGACGGTGCAGGAATAGGTGCAGATGCGTTACCAGCTGAAATGAAAGCATCCTAAGTGGACAAGACAGTTTCTGTGAGGGGCGACCATGCCTCTCTGCAAACCCAGTCTTAGCTGGTGAAGCAGGAGTGCAGTGGGGAGGGAGACACCGGCTTGTTTGGCTTTTGCATCCTTGAGAGTGGTCTTAATGAGCCAGCCGTGGGATTGCAGGGTATGGATGGAGCATGGGGTATGTCTGCAGTCAAACACCTCCAGCCTTCCTGCTAGTCCCATGCTTCTAGTTCTTCGGGCTAAGTGTGGGGCTGGGGTCAGGGGGACACATGAGAAGCAAGAGGTTTCTGGTGATACCTTTTATTGGACCCGCTGCAGTTGGGAGAGACGCGAGACAAGCTTTTGGGCACGTTTCCTTGGCTCTGGGCATGGGCTATTGAATGGCTGTGCTAGTTTCTAATGGGGCCGCACCTGTTGTAGACCCTCCCACAATAGAAATACTAATGCAAAATGAAGGGAGCCTACCCATTCCCACTGCAAGCTGCACCGCAGGGCCCTGCACACGTTCAAACTGAGCTGAATAGAAACCAGCCGCAGAGTTGTTACACATTTTCAAGCACAAACTTCCGTGCTGATTGGCCCTTTTTCTAGCTGGATAGCCATTTTTATGGTGTGATCATTACTTCGCACATGTGGCTGGTGTATTGCGTGATTGACCAGTTAGTTGCATAATAAATGTAATGGCTGGCAGAGGCCAGAGGGACACGGTTGCTGCAAGGCTCAGAGAGAAGGCATCAGCCAGCCCCACCTCTGAGCTCTCGGGGCGGGGGGTGGAAGGAAGGATGGGATGTTCATTAGCCATCTCTCGTTACTGTATTTGCTTGGGAAAAAATCTGCCGGCTCCTGTGGTGGGCTTGTAGCACTCCCGAAATGCTTCCATGTAGAAAACTGCTAACAAGAGCCTTGTTTTTCAGCAACTTTGGGCAAGGCCTTTGTGTTTAGCCGCAGCAAAGGGGTGCCCGTGACAGCTAACTCTGTGCCTCTCCCTTTGCCAGGGCCACCCCTTCATCGTGCAGTACAACGACGGGAACGCGGAGGTGGTGTCCATGTGGGTGTGCAGGATGCTGGAGGAGCGTCGTGCCCAGCAGGCCCCGCAGTGACCAGGGCGGTGTGCTGGTGGCGGAGAGCACAGGACTGGCAAAACCAAACCCGGCCGCGCATCAGGCGGCCGCCACAGCTGGATGATCTTTCGCTATAAGTATTTTATAGAAGCATCAACAAAACCTTCCCGGATATTTGCTGCTGCCTCTTTTTTTCCACCCCCCTCAGACTTTAGGGGATTTTCTTCACAGATTTCTTTGGTTTGCTGAGTGATTTAATGTCCTCAAATTATCTTCAATCAAACTGTACACAGCCTTAAAGCAAGTATATTATATATATTTTTTCTTTTGTTATTGAATGTACTGTATATTTCACAGCACCAGAGTATTTTTTAACCTTTTGTCTTTTGCTATTGTACAAATGAGACCATTGACTGTCCAGAAGAGCTAGCGAGCAGCTGGGGGCTGCATAGAGACAAAGACGTCAAGAAAATGCTTGGTTTAAAATTGTATTTGTATGTTTGGAAAAAAAATAATAATAAGTGGCTGGGCTTCACCATTCTTAATGGAGAGACCAAGGTCTTCTTTTACAAGAATAAAGTGTGGCAAGTATATCATCACTTGTGCTGCGCTGATGCTAGGTTATTTGTAGCTAGTGCAGGGCAAAATCTCACCCCGAGACCAAGCGTTCACATAACGGGGTGTCTGTGTACATATAATACGTCCATGCGCACACACGCTGCAGCCTTTGAAGGCGCTAGGAGCTGTGCCTGTGTTACAGGACAAAAGGTAGCCTTTGTTTCATATCTGATCCCCAGGCCATAGCTGTATGAGCCAAACGTCTGAGCCCTGCAGCCCAGATGATATGGCCCTGCGTGCCGGGATACACGCTGGGGCCTGATCCGGTGGGTTTGCTGGCCCGCAGACGCACCCCACACCGCTCCCGGGCCCAAACGGCCGGGCACCGCCTGCCTACCCAAGGTGCCTCCCAGCGGACCCTAAGGCTGCATCTATGCAAGGAGACCCACCTTGCTTCCAGTAACACCGCACGCTCCCGCACAGCGAGTCGAGGCACGGCCGGCAAGGAGCCCCGGTTTCTTGGCGGGGCACGGCCTGTGTACTGCCCGGTTGTACAGAAGCTGCCTCAGGGCCTGTGCGGCTGAGCTGGTGCTTTGGCCCATTTGCAGGTTGGGGCTGCAGCCCAGGGATTTATCCTGAGGGTGGGAGGAGGGCCGGGTTCCCGCAGCCGGGGGCACAGGAAGCCAGGCCTGCAGTTGTGCCGTATGTCGGGCTTGGCTTCACTCCTCCCCGCTGCGTCCAGCTCCCTGGGAAGCCCCTGTGCCCTCCCAACCCGGCCCCGCTGCATGTGAAGGGAGCCCCCAAGCAAGGAGCAGCTCTTCCACCTCCTTGCAGGCACCAGCCGTGTCCTGCTCAGCCGTTAGGCATCCCCGCACTGCCGGCACTGGCTCCACAAGCATCCCTATGGCCGAGCAGACACTTCCCTGACGTGGGTCACGGGGAGAGGACAGAGACCACGGATGTGAGGAGCATCAGGTGGGACCAGCAGGACGTTGGCCATGGAGTAATGCCAGGTGCCCAGCCCCCCGGGCTCTCCCACAGAGCGGGGGGTGGATGGGGGCTGTGTTGAGAGAGCTGCAGAGCAGGGCTGCAAAGGGTGAGGCCTGGGACGAGAGGCAGGTCCCTCGCAGAGCTGCCTCCAAAACCACAGCCCTCCCTTGCGTGGGATGCGGGCGGGATGTCCAGAGGGGGCACAGGACGGCTAACCAGCACCCGTCTGCAGCTTAGCTCACACCTGCTGCAAAGACCGTTCGGTTCGTACCAGCCAAGTAGAGGTCCGTGGATTCCCGCAAGGGAATTGCTGCTTGGCCGTGCTGTCTGCTGATGCACCCCCAAGCCAGACGCACGGCTTCAGGTGAGCTGGACATGCCACGGGCCTGGTCCGAGGGAGCTTAGAGTCTGGGCTTGCCATGCAACCCTGCAGCAGGACAGGGCCTGCGGGACAAAGCAGCAGTAACTCTAAGGCTTTTCTTTGCACTTAGAAGCCATCGTCTCAGCTGGCCACACGCCTGTCCGTGGCCAGATGGTGAAACCCGTGGTCGCGCGGCAGCGTGCTGTGAACATCGCGGCCACAGGTTGTGAGCAGACGCAGCACAGCTCTGTACACGCCGGTCTGCTCTTCCATTGCTGCGATGTGCCTAACCGAGGCAACCGAGCTCCCTTAAAGGAAAGATGAATAATTACAACGTGTGGTGTGTGCCTCCTTATTCCTAGGTGTGGGCTTCCTCAGCCTGATGAAGGGTATTTGCGCTCGAAAGCTTGCAAAGAAGGATTTTTCCAACGATTTGAGTTGGTCTAATAAAAGACATCAGATTTACCCAAAAAACCTTGCCTCCTTATTCCTATGACTTTGGTTTATAGTTTCATAACAGATTGTCTCATCTTTAATCAATCTTGGTATTATAATGCTAGTTATGGGCACAAATGAATGGAGGAGACCCTTTTAAAAAGGGGCACAGAGGGTAAACGGAGTTTTTTTGTAGCAAATTAAGCCTTTATCCTAAATGCTGAAGTTTTCTGGCCTTCCGACTAAAATGTTACTAAAAGGGCTGAAGTGGATTATAATATATGGGCAGGCCAAAAGCCCCTTTGCAATGAGAAGTTTCTGTGGATGGATTGCAAATCCTAAATGTTACTTTGGAGGTAGTCTGGAAAATACTTTGTTTCCTTCCTCCCAGGGATCATTTATCTTGTTCTGAAGCATAGAGATTGCAGGCATGAACTTATAGACTAAAGTTTGTCTTAATTGCTCCTATGTCACAGCCTCCCTGGCAGATAACAGTACAATGAATGAGTCAATGTGACCAATACCTTCAGGTCCTTTTTCTAAAGTGAGACAAATTTCTTTCCTTTGAGCCAACCAGTCTATAGGCAGCTCTTTCATTTATTTATCTCCTAACAGTTTGCATTAGCTTTCTCTGGATAAAAAGTCTCTCTCTCAGATTTAGTTAAAAAGTCCGTAAAACCAGGGCTTTCCCTCTGGTTTTCATCAGGGCGTGGGAGACATCAGCCTTGCAGATCCATGCCCAACGTCAACAGACGTAGCTTTGAAAAATCTCGTGGCTAATGCGCTGACAGCGTTATATTTCACGGGGGTGAGTGATGAGCCTCGCAGACTTGATCGTTATACTTAGTCCAATGATAATTGTGGCAGGTGGGGGGGGTCTTCATCATCCTTCCCTTGAAGGGGGGCTTCTGCGATAATTCGGGAGACACCAGGGTTTGCTAACGGGGCACAAAACCTTTCATTGCTAAATTGACCCAGCCAGTCTGACTCATAGCAAGGAGCGAGGGAAGGTCTGTGTCCTGTGGGAAAGGGGGAAAGCAAGAAACAACCTGTAAGCAGACGTGCACCTGAACAACCACCACAGACATACCCAGCCTCTGTAGGGAAACTGAGGCCTGACAGCGGTGGTAGCACCAGGCAGCCTCTTGCCCATGTCCTGGCTCCTCTTCCCTTACGACAACAAGCACGTGAGGTGCTGTGCAATGCATCTTAATCCAGGCAAGACGAGCTCCCAGGCAGGGCAGGGCGAGGGCAACGTGCATTTCTGCAGCCGTGCTGCGTTTATTCTGTACGTCAAAGGAAGAAATCCAGTCCCCGGCCTCTCTCACGTAGGCCAACCCACCATTAGAAATGGGTTGGGCGTCCCTGCAGCTGAGTTGTGAAACGGGCTGCAAAGTGAACCGAGGCCGAAGCCGCTCTGCCTTCAGAAATCACCTTCAGCTCCTCCGGGAGAGCCGACGCCGAGATGCCCGACGTGGAATTACCTTTCCCTGCTGCCTCCCCATCTTGAAATGACCTCGTGACACGACCTTTGGAGCTGCGCCTCTGCTAAGCCAAGATGCTGGCTGCAAGCGCAGCAACAGGGCATCCCAGCGATCACCCACCTTCATCAGAAGGCCCCCGAGGATTCATCCAAAGGGTTTCAGCAGCAGATGACATTGCGTAACCATGCGGGGGAAGCAAAAATAGGGACCCCTAAAAAATTTAGAAAATTAATATTTATCTGGCCCTGGCTGCCTGTCATGCGGCCCTTGATGGCTTGCTAAAACTCAGTAAGCGGCCCTCTGCCCAAAATAATTGCCCACCCCTGGGCTAGGGGATCATTGCACCAAATAGCTTCATCAGGATGCCAACAGAAAGCATAGCTCCGTGTCAACAGGTAAGTGTCTGAAAACAGCAATGAAAAGGCCCGTTCTCTCTCTAGCTCGTCATCATTACAACTAGTCAAAAGGGGCAGGGAGGGAAATTTCTTCACACACAGAAGTTTCCAAGAAAATCTGGGCAGATTGTTCCTCTTCATTAAAATTTCGACCGGGTTCGCTTGGTTCCTACCGATCATGGCTGATCATAGCCAAAAGACCAGCAGCGGTTTTATCTTCCCCACATTGATATTATTTGCCATGCAGAATTGCAAAATACTGTGTTTCATCTTATCAAACGTGGCCTGCTGTCAGCTTTCCAAAGGCACAGCGTCGTTCTTTGTTTTCTCAATAACCGCTTGAAAGGCCGGACCCATATGTGCACGCAGGCGCGTGCGTGCACGTGTGCCTGCTCATGCGAGTGTGTTGACTAGCAAAGGTGGGCACGCACCAAGCAGTATTTCCAGGACTGCAGGAGCTGCACCTGGCACTGAAAAGTCCCGCTTTGCCTCCCTAAGACGAGTGTTTGTTAAGTGAAGACAGATCCTTATCCGAACACGGGTCAGTCTGATGGAGGCCTGAAACAAAGAGCCCGTGGATAAGACATCCGCTGCCCGAGGCAAAGCCTAGTAGCAGAGCTAGGGTGGGGTGAGCAGGGCCCTAGCCCAGCCCAGCTATGCGGCCAGACAGCGCCATGCTGCACCCAGCGATGCATCCTAGGGGGTGCAGAGCCGAGGGGTCAGTGCTCTCCCCAGCCCTGGGAGCCTTTTGCAGAACGGGCACAGCTTTGCACCCAATATGTACGAGCTGGGAAAGCAATTGGGGCACGTGGGTCAGCTCCCATGGGGCCCAAGCAGAGCTGATGCTGCTACAGCAGCAGGAGCAGCAGCCTGGGAAGGCTGACCTACCCCCACCCCCACCCCAGTGCTCAACGAGCTCGCTGCACCGCTGGGGCAATCCCAGCCTAAGGACCCCAGGCTCCACCTTCCCCTCCGGGCTAACAAGAGCTGCCTTCGTTTTGAACGTGCTGCTGCGGCCTACCATCCCTAGCAGGCATCCAAGTTCTCTGGACGGGCTAAAAGGACCGTGCGCAGACGGTCAGACCTGAGGGCTGCCCCTCGTATCAGGCCGAGGCTGAACCCTCCGTCTATGCAGCAGCTGTAACCCTGGGAGGGCGCGGGGAGGGGGAGTGCATCCATGCCAGCTCAGCCAAACTGGACCCTGAATCCTACTGGTGACTGGCCAGTGCAGCGGGGCTCGGGCAGCGGGCGAGCAGGAGGGGGAAACGTGGCTCAGGTTCCCCCGCCCGGTCTCCGTAACGGCCGCCACGTGCCACCAGCGGTGGAGCAGCGCTGGTGGAGCAGGAGCTGCCAGCGCCTGCTAGGAAAGCCGGGGGAGGACAGACCAGGTGCGGGTGAGAGGCAAGAGGGTGGGGAAGGGATTTCTATTCCAGCTGTTCCCGGCTGTATCTTGTATTCGTGCCTGTTGCTGTCCCCGGCTGGCTAACATCTTGGAGACGGGACGTCTCTGCCACTGGTAAAGATGCAGCATCCTGGCCATTTCCACGGAGGCGTGCGTGCTGCCAGTATTGAATCCAAGGCATTGAAGCGGCGCTCCAAAAGAGCTGATTCGACACCATTACTATTTCACAGGTTTATTTAAAAAATACATAAAAAAAATCTGGAAAAAACGTGGAATGCGAGCTCTGTGTGCCAGTCTTTCGCTCCCCCTGAGAGTGAAAGCACGGGGCTGATTTAAAGCTGTACGTAGTCCCATCACCTCTATGGTTGGCGGAGCAGCACTAGGAGTGCCCCAGTGCGGACGAGTCTCCCATATGGACTCTTTCACCCCTAAAACCCTAGCAGCTCGACCAGGCCCTGCCCAGGGCACATTAATACGCACAGAGCCACTGTGCTACGAAAGGCCAGCATGTTTCTGTGCCCAGTGCCCCACAAAGCTGTCGTTACAGCCGCGTCCTCACTTGTCCCTCTTCTCCCACCCCCCTGGCTCTACCCCTGCTCCTTCTGCCTCCCGGGAACCCCCACTCATGCAGGAGGGTTTTTGTAGTTTGGCTTCAAGGCAAATCTCTGCACCCCCAGGCCCGAGCAGCTGACGGACACGTTTTCACCTCCGTGGGAAGTGGCCAGCACGGCGGATGCTCCCAAGCCGAGCTACGCGTGACGAGACGTGCTACTCAGAGCGCAGCTTTCCAGCTCTGGGACGGGGGCTTTGCTGGAAAGTGGCACAAATCAATGGTCGCACATTGCAGACGTCACCTGGGAAACACATCTGGAGGGGCCGGAGGGCTCGGAAACCCCAGCCGAGTCCAGCGGACCTGGCCTGGTCCGACCCACACGTGGGCCCGTGCCAAGGCCGAGCCCTTTTGGGGACAGCGAAGTCCCAAATGGAGTCGACGCGGAGCCTGTGACATCCTTAACCCGCGGCTGCCGCCCTGGTGGGTCTCCTCAGTCTGGGGGCTTTCCCCCGCGGGTGCTGCCAACCGTGCGGGGACTAGCTGGGAAAATCAGCCGCCCCCCTCCCCTTTTCCGCAGACTCCTGGCAGGGTGCGCATCTGGGGGCGAGGGGCTGGAACAAACGGCTAGAAATACGATCCATTTGCTTAAACGTGTGGCTAGTCAAACAACCAAGGGAGGGGGGCAGGAAACGCGGCACGGCAGGAAAGACCAAGTCCCGAAGCGAAGCCCCCGGTGGCTTTCTTCCTAGAAAAAGGCAGCCCAGGGCTCTCTGCCCAGTTGCCAGAGATTTGCACCGGCTGCAGGGGATGTACCCTCAGCAGAGGGGAGCGCCATGAACTACTCAGGACAGGATTTATAGACCGAGCCTTACCGCTGCCCGCAGCGTCTGCCCCAGCCACCCCCGGGCAGCCCTGCAGCCGCCCAACCTCGCAGCACAAGTGCAAGGCTTGTAAGTTGCCGGCCGTCGGCCCCAGAGATTTTCATGGAAAATGGATGTCTGGGGCTGTCATGAGATAGAAGAAAGGAAGGGAAAAAAGAAAAAAGAAACTCAGCATCGGAGGCTGAAACCCTCCTGGCTGAGCTGGGAGAGGGAGGCCGGGTGGGCCCAGTCCCCAGGCAGGTGCGTGGAAACCCCGAGGCTTTGGAGCCGGGGCAAGGGGCACAAATCCGGGGGTGTTGCACGGGCAGGTGCCAGCGCCCCCCGGCCCCGGCAGGCCGGGGCAACCAAGAGTTAATCGCTCCCGTCAGCTCATTTTCGCTCGGGCCTTGTTTTAACCGGATCGATGCGGGCTTGTCTATCGATTGCGGGCTGCAGCATCGCTTCCCGCCCGGCGGCTCCGATTGAGAGAAATTAGGCAGATTTAGAGCCGGGAGCGGGGAGGGAGGCGCCCCCCACCCCCTTGACCCGGCCCGGGGAGCTGTGCCCCGCTCGCGCCGCCCCGCACACCCCCGCACTTCATCTGCGGCGCCGCTGACCTCCGGCCGCCCCGGCCGCATCGATCCG